ATGGGCCAAGCAGTGTTTAAATGAATACAGTTTGTGTGTTGTTATTTCGGGCATAAGCTAGCAGGCAGCTGGGGTGCTGGGGATGCAGCCCCGCTGCTGCTCTTATCACTATAGTAGTGGAGATGTAAATATACACTGGAAGGGTTCTTGCAGGTATCACAGAACATAGGAAGATGAACTGTGAAGAGGTGAGAATGAAAACTAGGTTTAGGCTGACTTGTCAACCTAGATAAACAGAGGCCAGGTTTATTGCCAGCATATTTAAACATATTATAATTTGGAAAAAATATCCTGGGATAAGACAATCCCCATTGCACAAGAAGGCATAACCAAAACTCAGCTCAATGTACATGTCATTTCTTCCAAGAAAATGGGTTCTAGAGATAGGCAGGCTACCTATACTAGCTTAAGGGACTAGGGAAAGGATCTGGCCTGGTCTCGGTCATACAGATAGCATAGAGGTCACCTGGGTATTAGCCATCTCTGGTCCTAGTTGTGAGAGAGGCCTGGCCCAACAAATAATGCAGATCACCAGGCTATTGATCACCTATAATTCCCAGCCTTCTGGAAAAACAGGTTATATGTCCTTCCCTTTTAAAGAACAATGCTGGGTGCTTACACAAAAAACATTCATTTTAAAGGTTCCTTGTTTGTAAATCACCACAGAAGGTATTAGTATTTTAATGCATATGCAATTACTTTTCAACAATTGCTATTTATAAAAATTAGGATGTATTTTATGTTTATATGTATGAGTATCTTACCTACATGCATATATGTGCAACATGTATGTGCCTTATGTCCTTGAAGGCCAGAGGGTTTCAGATCCCCTGGAACAGGAATTACAGAAGGTTACAAAAAGCCATGTGGGTGCTGGGAATTGGACCTGAGTCCTCTGCAAGAGTAACAAGTGTTCTTAACCACTGAGCCATCTCTCTAGCCCAACAATTGCCCTTTTTTAACTATACAAAGTAAAATCATTGGGAAAATAGCCACAAAGTTTGTCATTTTCAGTGGGACTGGAGAGGTGGTTCAGTGGTTAAGAGTGCCTGCCACTCTTCCAGAGGACCTCAATTTAGTTCCCAAATACCCATAACTCCAGCTCCAGGGGATCAGAAACCCTCTTCTGGTCTCCACAGGTCCATTACACAATAGGCACATAAATATACATATACACATGTGCATAAAATAAAGTAAGTCTTTTAAAGATTTTTCATTAACAGACAAAAATTTATTACGGAAAGTTGTTGGAGAATAGGGTGCCCATATACTATCAAAGTGCATCCTAAGATTATCTGTTGATTAATGAAGGGGGAAAAACCTTTATAATGGAGAAATTGTTAGACAACTCTGTAATCAAGTACCCAGGTTCCACAATGATGGAGCACAGTGACACCAAGTGCCTTCCTAATAATGTACTAAAGACAATATAATTGGTGCTCTTGTTTTATAAAAACAAGAATAATGAGTTATGAAAAAGCCCACAAATTCAAATTCAAATTAAGGACATTCTGAGAAGTCAGTAGTTTAGACTCTTTAATAATATCAATGTTTCTACACAAGACAAAAAGGAGTGGGTGGGAAACTGTCCTAGATTAAAGGAGATTAAGCCCAGGTATAAATCAAATGTGAACTCTGACTGGCTTTTGAATTTGTTCTTTCTAACAAGAATGAGAGAAACAGAAACAAAGGCAGCCATCAAGCTCTAACAGTAACTATGTACTGACTACCAGCTAACAGTGCTGTATACAGACCTGCATATTTATCAGTGGATAATGGCATTGTAGCTAGGCAGACAAATACCTTTGTTCCTAAAAGACAGATGCTAAAATATTTAGGGGTAAAATGATACTATGTCTTCAAATTACTGAAGACTGAATTTCTGTACCTGGTTGAGAAACTGAATTGCCATGGAGTTATAGGCCAGAGGAAACAAGTTGGGGAGAGTGGGCTAGGTAGCTCGTAGAGACCTCAGTGCCCTGTCTGTGTGGGTTCAGGTATGGGAAGATGGACGGGCTACAGGCAGCCAGGTCCTTCCAGGCCAATAGACCCGCATCAGCTGAGCATGGCAGCAGTGTGTGAGCAGCACGTGGACCCTGTGGGACCCTGCGTACTTTATGGCAGAGGCACAAAAGCTGCTGCTGGCTGTTGCTTCATCAGGGTCAGCAACGAGGTCGGCATTGGGTGCTCCATTGTTGGCTGGCAGCTTGACCGTCATTGGCATTCCTCCGTCTGAAGCGTCCATGGCAGGTGTGGCAGCACTAGTGCAGAAAACTCGAGAATATGTGAAGACCAAGGAGTTCCAGGATTACATAACTAGCACCCACTTCTGGGGTCCTGTGGCCAACTGGGGCCTTCCAATGGTTGCCTTCAGGGATATGAAGGTGCCACCCGCTATTGTCGGTGGCCGCATGACAACAGCCCTCATGGCTTCTACTCCATGGCTTTCATGCGCTTTGCCTACTGGGTCCAGCCTCGAAATTATCTGCTGATGGCCCGCCATTTCACCAACGTGGTGGTGCAGAGCATGCAGGCCAGCTGGTACCTGATGGTACCTTGACCTGGGGGGGTCAAGGCCAGCAACCCCCCTGCCAAAGCTTGATGACTGGGGGTGGGGGGTAGCCTGACCCAGAGTTTGCTGTTTGCAAGCACTAGATTCTATTCCTCCAAAAGAAAGGCCAAGGAGAGTAGTGGTGGCGCACGCCTTTCATCTCAGCACCCAGGAGGCAGAGGCAGGCAGATCTCTGTGAGTTTGAGGCCAGCCTGGCCTACAAGAGCTAGTTCCAGGACAGGCTCCAAAGCTACAGAGAAACCCTGTCTCGAAAAACAAAAAAAGAAAAAAGAAAAAGAAAAGAAAAAAGAAAAAGGAAAGCTTTCGTTTGGACTCTAAAACAGTGTAAACCTGATTTAAACCTGCAGTTTTGTTAATTTAAAAAAAAAGCATCAAATTGATCTTGATTGTTGCCTGTTTTGTGAAATGGAAGGGAAAAAGTTTCCCAGGTAGTCAGGGTTAGACAAGGGAGGAAGACAGGAGGAAAACAAAATCATCTACTCATAGCTTTGCTAAAACCAAACCAAACCAAACCTCTCTAGGTTAGCAGGCTTTTGGGTGCCCTGGGCAAACAAGGGTGATGGTGTCACAGATGACTTATTAAAATTTGGTAGTGGCAAATCCCTAACGCCAAAGAGAGGACACTATTTTTGTAGAGGAAACCATTCAGAAGTAGGTTTAAATAAATATAGTGAAATTCCAGCTTAGATTTTAGTCTAGTGTCTCTTGGTGGCCTAGAACAATTATATGAGCTGCTATGAAGATGATTGTCAGAATGGTGGCTATCAGTCTAGAGTTTTAGGTAAGCACTCAGAAATACTTTCCATTTATCCTTTGAAATAGAAAATCACAGCAGTTTACAAATTGATTAGGCCTAACCTGGGAATTGGAAACTAGCTAGGGATGGGGGGCGAGTGTCACTGGTCAGCTACAGTGTGCTCAGAGTACCCTCTAGAATTCACTGGGTGCCAACGATTTCTAAAACCAGAGAGCTTGGAAAGATGGAAGATGAGGCTGGGGGTGAGATTTCACCACAGAGGCAGGCTTGTTCGATCCACAACTTGCCCTGCTCAGGATTCTGCTGAATATAGGAGGTGGTTTCTGGGGGACCCAATACACATGTTCAGAAGTGCTGAACCTGCTTCTGACAAAGTCTGCAAATGCAAAGGAATTAGAAACACTTCTGCCAGGTTCTGACGCCATCAGCTCTTGGCTAAGACAGGAAAAGTTCATCTCATGCAGCATCCAAGCATTAGTCTTGTTTGTAGGAAGTCCCTTTCACAGGGAGATGAAGGCAGCCAAGACAGAAGGCAATGCCTTTCCTGGGCTTCTTGCCCTGGTGCTAGGATTTGGAAGCACCCCTGGAGGTGGAGACATAAAAAGGAGGCTACAACAAATTACATGGAATCTGACACCGAAGGCTTGCAATAAGATATGTTACTCATGTGTCTTGTTTCAAAATTAACAACTGTAGTAAGAAGTTTCAAAATACATAATACATATTTATTATAAAAAGAATATACAAAATACAAAAGCTAAATTTCTTCTGACTACTCCGCAGCCCCAAATCCTCTCATTGACGTAACACAGCAGACAGACTTTCCAGACCTCAGTTATTATACAAACAGCACTGTAGCATGCTAGGTGCTATTAAAAACTTTGCTTTTCTATTTATTTGCTTTTGGCAGTGGAGCGGGGATCTAATTCAAGGCAACATGTATGCTGGGCAAGAAAGTGCCCTACCACTGAGTTCCATCCCACCCTCTCAGTTGTTTTTTTGACTTTAGATGTTTTATAGGCAATTCACATTATTGTAAGGTAGCATGGGATTATTCTTTCTACCTGTTATGTGGCATAGTACACAGTACAGATGTTCTATGCCTTATTTGGTAGGTCCTCTCTACTAGTGGTTGGGTATCAATGCTGTGGTGAACATCAATTGTTTTCTGAACAATACCTTTGGTTTGTCAGAGTGGAAGATAAAAGCAGTAAGATATGACTTCACCACTTTTTATATTTTTATCTACTTCAATGTCTGGCACAGGGTTGACTCTTGATAACTGTGTGTTGGATTGATAAGGACAAACTGACTAGACACGGGTGTAGAATGAAAAGTTCAGCTCCTAAACTTTCTACATTTAGAAACCAGGTCTTCATGGGTTAGTGAATCAAGATTTCATGTTTTGTACCCCAGACTAGAAGGGAGGAGATATTTCATTAGTTTGTTTGGTTTTTTGCTTTGGCAAAGTTGCAAAATAAGTACAAAATCTTGTTTTACTCTTGAAGTCTTCCCAAGTAACTTGAGAAGGGAGAACAAATGAAGGAAGAAAGAAAACATAAGACTGAAAATCAAACAGCGACCAGGAAATGAAATAACCACGCTGCAGGCACATTTACATTCATTTGGGTTCTACAGTCAAAATACATGCCGAATACAGTCTCCCTCTCCACCCACTCTCTGCAGAATCAATCTTGGGAGGCAGCTGATCAGGTAAAGGCGCGAAATCATCTTTGCTGAGCCTTGGCATGGAGCATTTCTTGTAGGCAGTTTTGGGAATACAGTAAAGTCCAAAGGTGACCGAAGCAGTCTAATGCCATTGACCTTGGAAATGAGCAGACAGAAGGAAAAGTGGGAAGTTAATCTGACTCCCACAGAATACTGCATACAATGGTACAAGGGTTCTGCACAGTTCGAGAATAGGACAAAGAGGGAAAAAAGGAATAGAGCTGTGAATTTATGAATGGATTAAAAGAGACTGACTTGTTTGAGTATCTGAAAGAATGATGAAATTTCTAATTTTACAGAATAAGAGCCAGCTTAGCTAAGAGTATAAGTAGCATTTCCACCAATAGTCACAGCACACGAGGTCTAGGCCCTGCACTTGGCACAGGGGACAAAAGTACTTAAGAGTAGTTTGGGAAGTTTGCTTTGTCTTTTGGGGAAAGGAAGCTGAGGACTGACTCAAGGGCCTGACATGGTAAATACATGTCCCACAATCATACTACACCTCCATTTCTTTATGATTTGTTTTATTTTGAGATAGGGTCTCAGTAAGCTGCCCTAGCTGGCCTAGGACTTTGGATCCCCCACTGCAGCCTTCCAATTAGCTGAGATCATAGGCACCATCTCGTGTCACTGGAGTTTACTTCTCATCTATGCTCACTCCATAGCAAACTGACACCTACTAATCTTTTCCAGATATCCTTTCTGGGACAGTAGCCTAGTCCCACTGCTGTAGGCTCAGTCAAGCTATTTTCTAGCCTGCCACTGAGCAGCCTGGCAACCCTCTGGCTACTCAAGTCCAGAAGCAACAGTTCTATACTTAGGGGAAATGGTAGAAAATGGCTACTTTCCTCTTGCCTTTTATCAGAAGCAAAAATAAACTAAAATTTTTCTGTTTGGACACTACATTCCAGCTCACATTTTGGCACTCACAGAGGAAAACTTCCCGACAAAGGCAAGAAGAGTACAGTACACTTTGGCTAGGACGCAGAACATCCCCTCACAGAGACCTAGTTATTACCATGTAAAAAGGTTCAGAGCCAGAAAAACCAACAGCACAAAGTTCCTGGGTGAAAGCAAAAAACAACACAACACTAGTATTTTTGACTGCATACAACACACAACTCCAAGGTGATGAATATGGGGGAAAAATATCTGAAGCATCATGGGAAAGGTCAAGACAAAAAAAAAACAAAAAACAAAAAAACCCTGTGCTTTGGGAATGTTTCTCTTTTGCGCAGAGGAGGATGCCTGACCTGGAAGTCAGACTGGCTTTCACATTATGCCTGCATTTTGTCAAAGGACAATACAAAATAAAAGAGAATTATTTCCATTTTTATTATTTGGCAGAAAAACAATAACAAGCTGGTTATGTTACCAGCTTTTTTATGGAAACTAGCCAAGCACAATTAATGCCACAGTAAAAGCTGGGCACCCTGGTATCATTTGAAGGCAGAGTAGTTTTTGACCATGTCACATAAGAGCAGACCTTGACTTCAGGTCTACAGAGTTGAGGCTTCACAGGCATATGTGAATCGTTAATAAGAGAATAAACTCTTGGTCCACTGTCCTTTCCTTGGTAAAGTTTCTACGTTTGTCCATTTCAAGAAGGGGGTCTCACTATGTAGTCTTGGCTGGCCTGGATAATGTAGAAAAGAATGGCCTTGAACTCACAGAAATCCACCTGTCTCTGCCTCCCGGATGCTGAGATTAATGGTGTGAACCACCATACCTAACCTTCATTTGGAAGAGTAAGGGCACAAGGAAAGCAAATGAGACTGTTGATTCAATATGGCTTCACATACAAAAACACACAAAGGGATAAGGCTATTGTGTCCCTCTTTAATGTTCTGAACCTAAACTTACCTCAAGCCTTCCTTTCAGGTGTCTGACTCTCAGTGTCCTTTGAAATTTGTTTTTGATGCTGTAGATGGAAACTGTCTAGCTTCTGCATGTCTTCTGTAAGGCCAATTCTGAGGTCTGTGTTGTTTTTCAAAAACTCTTTCACCGCATCCAGTCGATTTGAGACCTGCAAGAGGAAAGTGTACAAGTGCCATTCTGTGCTATTCACAACAGAATTCAATTCAGATGAACGTGGAGGTTGCCTCACAAGGCTGGAGCTGGAGCTCAGCATCAGGAGCATGCCCCTGAACAAGCAACCTGTTCCTGTCTATGTTTACCAGAAGACAGAAACACCAGCTACTGGCACCCATCCATACATAGGTTAAGTCTTCAAATCAAAAACAAATTCTTTTTTATTGCTTTATAAATAAGACCATTCAAAATTTCCCAAAAACAAGTTCTTTTTTTTAAATTTATTTATTTATTATGTATACAACATTCTGCCTCGATGTATGCCCACACGCCAGAGCAGGGCACCAGATCTCATTACAGATGGTTGTGAGCCATCATGTTGTTGCTGGGAATTGAACTCAGGACCTCTGGAAGAGCAGCCAGTGCTCTTAACCTCTGAGCCATCTCTCCAGCCCATCAAAAACAAATTCTTTAAAACAAGGCAAACTCATGTCATGTGTGGTAGCTCAAACTTTTGTCCCAGAACAGGGAAGGGAGAAGCAGGTCAATTTCTGTGAATTTAAGTCCAGATGCTCTACATAGTGAGTTGCACGCTAGCCAGAGATGCATGTCTCAAAAGACAAGACAAGACAAAAAATAGAAATAAAACTACACTCAGACAGGCGTGGTATACCTGTTTGAAGTCAGCATGTGGAGGGCTGAGGCAGGAAGATCACTACAAGTTTCAGGCCTGTATCGATATGTAAATAAAGACAAACAAAACAAGTACCTTTCACTCAAACTAAACATATTCCAGTATAGCTAATTCTAAGACTACATAGGGGGTGTTTGCTTATTACCTCAATTTTTTTTTGCTTCAAAACTCAAGTTTAAAGTGTTTATCTTACATTTTTGAGATTTTTTTGCCTATACAAGTATTTCTAGTAGAAGATACATCTATAAAACAGTATTAAATGTACAGACACAAAATTCTAAGTCAATAGGGTATATAAGGTTAAAAAGTGAATACTCTTAATTAAATCTTTCCTTAGTTATCCCAGTCTCTCCCTTACAGGTAACAGTATAGTCATCTCATTTCTTTTTCTTTTTTTTTGAGACAAGGTTTCTCTGTGCAACAGCCCTGACTGTACTGGAACTTGTTTTGTAGACCAGGCTGGCCTCAAACTCACAGACATACCCCTGCCTCTGTCTCCTGAGTGCTGGGATTACAGAAGTGTGCCACCTCTGCTGGTGCCATTTTATTTCTTCTGGAGACATGTCATGTGCTCGTGTGTATGTATTTTTTTAAATATGGAATGCTTCACAAATCTGCATAAAATCTTTGCATCTGTATCACCCCAATTTTAGTATGTGTGCTAGTAGTGAAACCTCGTCTCAAAACAAACAAGAAAGTCTGGGCTCCATCCTCAGTACTGTAACAGTTTACAGTGTGTTTAAAAAATATACATAAGCTTGGAAGAGAAAAGTCCTTAAAAAAAGAAATAGAGTTGCAGGGTGTAATGGTGCATGCCTTTAATCCCAGCACTTGATAGGCGGAGGCAGGCAAATCTGTTAGTTTGAGGCCAACCTGGGCTACAGAGTGAGATCCAGGACACCCAAAGATACGCAAAAAACCCCGTGTCATAAAAAACAAAAATTTAAAAAAAGAAACAGTTTTTTAAAAATGCAACAAAAAGAAAATACACAGATAATCTGGATACTGTATGTTATTGTGTTGTCTTTAAATTGTTTGACTGCGGAGGAAGAAGCAACAGCTGCTAAAAGACATTTGATTATAAATGCTGTTGGATTAATCCAAAATATATATTTTGAAAAATGCATTGACTTCAAAATTTATTTTACTTTGGAGAAGAAGTATTGCTTTTGATTCCACTGGTAATGAAAGACTGTGCATTTATTCTGGGTTAAGAAAAATAAGGTTCGGGCTGGAGAGAGGGCTCAGTTGTTAAGAGCACTGACTGCTCTTCCAGAGGTCCTGAGTTCAATTCCCAGCAACCACATGGTGGCTCACAACCATCTATGATGAGACCCGGCGCCCCCTCCTGACCTGCAGGCACACATGGAAGGAATGCTGTACACATAATAAATAAATAAATAAATCTTTAAAAAAAAAGAAAAATAAGGTTTGATTGAGGAAGATTACCTGAAAAATCTCCAATGGGAACAGATAGCCCAGTTCTACATCCAGAACAGTTTCAAGACTGCTGGCTGAGATGATCCAGCCTCACAGAATACTACAGTCAGGACTTGACCATAACCCTACATTTTTTTTAGGTTCTCATAAGATTATCAGCACCCCCCAATCAGCAGGAAGAAGCAGACTAGAAATCTATGCCCACATTCCCAAAAAATGGATTATGGATGTGTGTCTTTGTTTAGTATGTTAGTCACAAATTGTTGTGGATAATGGTCAGAAAAAAAGCTGAAGAAAGGAGATTAGATTCAGGGTCTTGTTTTGAAAGGAAAAAAAGTGGAAATGCTGTGAGATAATGTTCTTGTTCACTGTAAAGATTTGTCACTCATATTAGTTTAATGCAATGGTGATTGGCCAGTAGCCAGGCAAAAAGCATAGGTGGAACAAACAGACTAAAAGAATTCTGTGAAGAGGAAAGGCAAAGTCAGTCACCAGTCAGGCGGAGAGAAAGAAGATGCCTTACTTGAGAAAAGGTACCAAGTCACATGACTAAACAGAGATATGAATAATGGGTTAATTTAAGATGTAAGAGCTAGTTAATAATAAGCCTGAGCTAATAGGCCAAACAATTTATAATTAATAAAAGCCTCTCTGTGTTTTTTTGGGACTGAATGGCTACAGAACTTGGGCAGTACAGAAACTTCTGTCTATACCATTGAACAAAAAGGCATAAAAATTCATATTTATCTTTTCTACAGAGAGACCTGGTGCCCTTTCCCAACTCAAATGGGTAAGGAGAACTAGAAATGTACAGTGACCAATGCCTCTGAAGCAGCAGACCAGCTGCACATGAAGGGCTACACATTTCCAACACTTACTATCCGCTAATCTAAAAATCTCTTTACGTTATAAAAATCAGTAGTGTTACCCTACTGATTTCAGGGACTAAAGTCCAAACAGCTTGGTGTGGCACAGAAAATCTTTCAAGAGAGTCCCACCCTACCTTGCCACACTCCTCCATAACCATACTACTGCCCAGCCCAAATTATCCTTTCATACTTCTGCTAAGAACATCCTTCTTCCCAGGCCAACTACTGACCTCTTACTAAATCCTTGAGTTGTAGCTCAATAGTAACTTTCCCCCCCCCCTTTTTTGGGGGGGGGGTGTATCCCCTGAGAACTGATAACCCATCAAGCATCCTGATCTGAGTTCTGTTTTAACCCTTATGCCACAATTCCACTTTGGGGCACTTACTAAGTTATCAAATTTGTGCTAAATGAAAATACCCGTTAAAATATATGATCAGGCTGCCAGGTTGTGGCATGCCTTTAATCCCAGCAGTCAGGAGACAGAGGAAGGCAGATCTCAGTGAGTTTGAGGCCAGCCTGGTCTACAGAGCTAGTTTTAGGACAGTCAGGGCTGTTATAGAGAGAAACCCTGTCTCGAAAAACAAGAAACCAAAACAAATGTTAAAAAAGTAAAAATAAAAAATATGATCAGAGAACAAGTAGTGGTAATGCACATGTTTAATCCCAGTACTCTGGAGGAGGAAGAAAGTGGATATCTAATTCAAGGACAGCCTGGTCTACAGAGTGAGTTCCAAGACACCCAGGGCTGTTACACAAAGAAACCCTGTTTTGAAAACCAAACCAAATCAAACCAAATAAAACAATAAAACAAAAATATGGTCAGTAAACATTGGGAGAATATATACTTCTAGAAATCACTTGACTTGCCCATCAAAATCCCAGCAAAATTCTTCAATGACCTTGAAAGAACGGGTACTCAACTTCATTTGGAAAAGCAAAGAAAACCCAGGATAGTCAAAACAATCCTGGGCAATAAAAGAACTTCTGGAGGCATCACAATTCCTGACTTCAAACTCTACTACAGAGCCACAGTACTGAAAACAGCCTGGTACTGGCATAAGAACAGACAGGAGGACCAATGGAACCAAATAGAAGACACGGATCCACACACCTTCTTCAAACACCTGATCTTTGATAAAGAAACAAAAATTATCAAATGGAAAAATGAAAGCATATTTAATAAGTGCTGCTGGCATAACTGGATATCAACATGTAGAAGAATGAAAATAGACCCATATCTATCACCATGCATAAAACTCAAGTACAAATGGATCAAAGACCTCAACATAAAGCCAGCCACAATGAACCTCATAGAAGAGAAAGTGGAAGTATACTTGAACACATTGGCACAGGGAACCACTTCCTAAATAGAACCCCAGCAGCACAGACACTGAGAGAAAAAGTTAATAAATGGGACCTCCTGAAACTGAAAAGCTTTTGTAAAGCAAAGGACACGGTCAACAAGACAAAACGACAGCCTACAGAATGGGAAAAGATCTTCACTAACCCCACATCAGACAGAGGGCTGATCTCCAAAATATACAAAGAACTCAAGAAATTGGACATCAAAAGATCACATAATCCAATAAAAAATGGAGTACATACCGAAACAGAGAACTCTCAACAGAGGAATCTAAAATGGCTGAAAGACACTTAAGGAAATGTTCAACATCCTTAGTCATCAGAGAAATGCAAATCAAAACAACTCTGAGATTCCATCTTACACCTGTAAGAATGGCCAAGATTAAAAACACTGATGACAACTTATGCTGGAGAGGTTGTGGGGAAAAGGGAACACTTCTGCATTGGTGGTGGGAATGCAAGCTGGTACAACCCCTTTGGATGTCAGTGTGGCGATTTCTCAGAAAATTAGGAAACAAACTTCCTCAAGACCCAATAATACTACTTTTGGGTATATATCCAAAGGATGATCAATGGTGCCACAAGGACATGTGCTCAACTATGTTCATAGCAGCTTTGTTTGTCATAGCCAGAACCTGGAAACAACCTAAATACCCTTTGACTGAAGAATGGATAAGGAAAATGTGGTACATTTACACAATGGAGTACTATACAGCAGAAAATAATGATATCTTGAATTTTGCAGGAAAATGGATGGAATTAGAAAATATTATTTTGAGTGAGGTAACCCAGACACAGAAAGACAATTATCACATGTACTCACTCATAGGTGCTTTTTTTAAACATAAAGCAAAGAAAGCCAGCCTACAAACCACAATCTAAGAGAACGTAGACAACAATGAGGACACTAAGAGAAACTTACATAGATCTAATCTACATGGAAGTAGAAAGTAGAAAAAGACAAGATCTCCTGAGTAAATTGGGAGCATTGGGACCTTGGGGAAGGGTAGAAGTGGGGAGGGGAGAGGCAGGGAGGAGAGCAGAGAAAAATGTAGAGCTCAATAAATATCATGGGAAAAAAATAAAAATAAATAAACTTTACAAAAAAAAGAAGAAAGAAAGAAATCACTTGACTTAAAAATAAAAAACCTGGCTCTCTGTGTCTGATCTGGCTGGAATTTTATGTCAACTTGACATAAGTTAGAGATATTTGAAAGATGGAACCACAACTGAGAAAATGTTCCCACCAAATTGGTCCATTGGCAAGCCTGTGGGGCATTTTCTTGATTAAGGATTGATGTGGGAAGGCCAGGCTTAACTCAATGTGGGTAATAGCACCCTTGGGCAGGTGGGCCTGAGTTGTATAAGAAAGCAGGCTGAACAAGCAAAGAGAAGCCAGTAAGCAGTGTTCCTCCATGGCTTCTGCTTCAGTCCCTGCTTCCAGGTTCCTGCACTGACTTCCCTAAGTGATGAAGTGTAAGCTGAAATTAACCCTTTCTTCCCCCAGCTGCTTTTGGTCATCATGTTTATCACAGCAATAGAAACAGTGTCAAAACGAGCTACTATTGCTGCTCTGGCTGTCATCTTTCTTTCTCCTCACACTTCATTCTTTCCTTTACCTCTTCGGGCAACACCTCTTCTTCTGCTGCTTGAAGATACATATCTTGCAGTTTTTCCTTCAGCAATTCCATTTCAATTTCATGGATTTGGCTCACACTCAAGTAACTTCCTATTTCAAATTTACACCCATCTCGTTCATCTTCCTCAGGAATGTGAACAGCCCAGTCAGATGTCAACAGCTATGGGGTGACCACACAAATACATGAACAAATTATTTTTTAAATTTCAGGTTTTAAAATATTTTTTATGAATTCTTTTGGAATTTCATAAATGTACAAAATGTATTTTGATCATATTCACATCTAACTCCTCTTCTAACTTCTCTAAGATTCATCCTCACATTAAAAGTTCATTCTTGAGATGTATCACTGTTTGCAGTTTTGGGGATGGAACTCAGGGACTAACTGAGGATGTTGCCTGCTGGTAGATAACAATCCTACCAGCAAGCCACACCCTCAGCCACTTGTACTGCAATAAGAGAGAGCCTGTAATTGAGTGCAGGCCTAACAACCTTAGATTTCTTGGATTTCTTAAGGTCAAAGGAGAGAACAGACTCCCAAGAGTTGTCCTCTGATCTTCACATGCACGTGTGCACATCAACGTGGACACACAGGCACACACATATACACACAAAATAAATGAACAATATTAATGGAAAAGAAATTCTACTGGGTAACTTGAAGGATTTATAATAAAATACCATTATTTAGATAGACCTATTTTAACCACACAGTTATTAAAGAAAAAAAAACTCTGCTAATTCCACATTTTATACCAGCAGTTTTTCCTCTGTTCACATTATAAAATTTAGCTTGGGGTTGAGATTGTAGTTCAGTGAGAAAGTGCTTGCCATGTGAAAGGCCCAGCCCTAGGTTCTACCCCAAGTAGGCTCTCTAAATAATAACAGAATAAAATAAAGACCAGGAGTATAGAGTGCTTGTCGGGAATGAGGATCTGTGTTTGCATTATCATCAGTATTGCAACAATAATAAATATATTTTAGTTTAAATAAACATCAAATTCACCTTATTTCTTAAGTAGCCCAGGCTTCCCAGGAGCTTACTATGTAATAAAGACTACCTCTGAAATAGCCATACTTCTGCCTCAGTGTACCAAGTGCTGGGACTTACATATACCACCACACCTGACTTAACATCAAAAAAGACTATGGATGTTTTAAACCCCTTAGGTTTGTATACCAGAACTGTTAAATGAAGTTTCAGATGGGCATAGTGGTGTATGCCCATAATCCCAGCACTCATTTAAGTAGAGGCATCTTTACCTGTTCTATTCTGGAATGTACTGCTTCAATCTCTGGAATATTCTTGAATTCATTCAGAAAATGTTGGATCTTTATCTGAAAATCTTGAAGCCATGTAGACGATACTTTCATCTCTGAAGAGTGCATTATCTCATTCCGACACTTAATTACCTACAAAAAAAAAACGGAGTTGGGCTGGTAAAGGTGTTTGTTGCCAAGCCCAAGAGCCTGAATTCAATCCCTGGAACCCACACAGTAGAACGTATGATGAATTGAATGAGAATGCCGCAAACAGGCTCATGTGTTTGAATAGCTGATCCCCAATTAGGGAACTGGTATGGGAAGTCTTTCTGTATATGTGTTACTTTTATTGGTTAATAAAGAAGCTGCTTTCTGCCAATGGCTCAACAGAACATAGCCCAGTTGAAAGAGATAGAGAGTAGGTGGAGTCAGTGAGCTGCCAGAGGAAAAAGATGCAAGCTGCCAGCTGGAACCTTGCTGGTAGGCCATGAACCTTGTGGTAAAATACAAAATAATAGAAATGGGTTAATTTAAGAAATAAAATATTAGCCGGGGGGGGGAGGGGGTGCTGGAGAGATGGCTCAGAGGTTAACAGCACTGACTGCTCTTCTGGAAGTCCTGAGTTCAATTTTGAGCAACTACATGGTGGCTCACAACCATCTATAATGGCATCCGATGCCCTCTTCTTGTGTGCAGGGGTACATGCAGATGGAGCACTCATACCAAAAACAAATAAAAAGTCATAAATAAAAATTTGCAGGGCCGTGGTGGCACATGCCTTTAATCCCAACACTTGGGAGGCAGAGGCAGGCGGATCTCTGTGAGTTCGAGGCCAGCCTGGTCTACAAGAGCTAGTTCCAGGACAGACTCCAAAGCTACAGAAACCCTGTCGTGAAAAACCAAAATAAATAAATAATAAATTTGGCCAACCAGAATTAGCCAAAAATACGCTTAAGCTATTGGCCAAACAGTATTGCAAATAATATGATTTCTCAGTGAAATTTCAGGTCTGAGTAGCTGGAAACAAATGAGCAGCCTCCACCAACAGGGAATTGTTTGGGAATAATTAGGAGCTGTGTGACATTGTTGGAGGACAAGACTTGCCAGGGTCAGGCTTTGTTGTTTCAAAAGACTCAAGACATTCCCAGCATGTTCTCTACTTATAGTTCATGTGCATGCTCAGCTCTTCCTGTTGCCATGCTTTTACTCTAGCAAGTATTTAAAATAACATACAATACAATAAAGCCTTTAGCCCCTTTAATTTGTGCCTGCCCCGGGGGCATCTATCAAGCAGTGAAATCTCTGTTGAGTCACATACTGAAATGTTCTCAAGGGACAGGTGACACCTTAGTGAAGCTGGTTCAAACAGCTAGGAAAATGAAGGCAGAGGGATAGGCATGAAGTAGAGAATGGATGTCCCATTTAAGCAGCAGCTTACTAACCTTGTGATTTGTTGCTATGGGAGGGGTGAACTCACTGTCACCAGATCTTATTTTTTATTTCAAAGATAGAAATTCTGATATGACAAATAATTCAAAAGTTGTTTTAAAAATAACTAGACAGGGACTGGCTAGAACTTGGCAGGAACTGCCAAGCCTGAAAACCTTCAAGCCCTGGGACCCACAAGGTGGGAGGAAAGAACTGACTTTTGAAAGTTATCCTCGCCAGGCGGCCTTTAATTCCAGCACTCGGGAGGCAGAGGCAGGCGGATCTCCATGTGTTCGAGGCCAGCCTGGTCTACAAGAGCTACTTCTAGGACAGGTTCCAAAGCCACAGAGAAACCCTGTCTCGAAAATAAAAAAGTTATCCTCTTACAGTTACATGACCACATCTACACACGCATACACACACACACACACACACACACACACACACACACACACTAAATAAATGTACGGCACTTGGTGGTTAAGAGTACTTTTTGGCCAGGCGGTGCTGGTGTACACCTTTAATACCGACACTCGAAGGCAGAGGCGGCTGGATCTGAGTTTGAGGCCAGCCTAATCTACTTGCTCAGTTCCAGGACAGGCAGGGCTACAGAGAAACCCTGTTTTAAAAGCCCTTCCCTCAAAAAAGGCACTTGTTGCTCTTTCAAGGAGCCTAGGTTTAGTTCCCAGGACTCACACAGAGCCTCACAACCTCTGTAACTCTAGCTCCAAGAGATTTGATGCCCTGTTAGTATTCAGGCATCTGTACTAGCTGCCCTTGAGGTCCTGACAGGATGGATCCATCTTCAGCTGCAGCCACTAAGAGCACCTTCTGTTCACATTGGCTATGTTCCCTTTTAAAAGATGGGCCCTATCCACCTCCCACCCCCCCTCTCTCTGTGTGTGTGTGTGTGTGTGTGTGTGTGTGTGTGTGTGTGTGTTTCTCCCTCTTTCTTCTTCTGCCTCTCTCTTCTCCTCTGCCATTCTTGTTCCCAGAGGCTGGTCTCTCCCCTCCCCCATTTTCCCATTCACTTCCCCTAACAAACCCTCCCCCTCCAGCTGCCATGTGGTCTTTTCTCTCTTGTGCTGCTTTTTAAATTACAACACCCTCTTTTGACCTCCAAAGGCACCAGGTAGACACATGGAGCACATACATACATGTATGCAAAATACTCATATACATATAGTAAATGACAAAAAATTAAAAAAATAAACTTAATAATTTTGTAAAGTCAGATAGGATTAATAAAGTAGGTCTGCAAGCCAGATTTTGGGTATAGAAGACTGTCAAGGGTTAAAGAATTATTCAACCAAGTGACACAAAATTAACAATCAAGGTAGAGAAATACAAAGAAGGAGCTGGAGACGTGGCTGAGTGGTTAAGAGCACCTGACTCCCAACACTTCCATGGCAGGTAAGAAAGACTATACCTTCAGTCCATGGAGTCTGACATCCTCTGCTGGCCTCCACTGGCACTACATGCACATGGTACACAGATATGCATGCAGACACAATACCCCCACACATAAAATAAAAATAATCGCTCTTTAAACAAAAAGGTTGACAGTCATGGTGGCATGCAGTTGAAATAACAGCACTTGGGAGGCAAGAGAATCATGAGTTCAAGGCACACACAGTGACACTTTGTCTCAAGAAGAAACAAGAAATACAAAGAAATCTCCATCCTTTGCCCTGAAAATCATTTTTCCCAGATGTCTTTGCACATATCTGTGACATAAGCTGGAGTCATTTTGGGAAAGGTAACCTCAGCTAAAAAATGCCTCCAATCGATTGGCCTGTGGTACATTTTCTTGACTGATGTCCTACCTCACTGTGGGTGGTGCCACCTGTTATATAAGCAGCATTCCTCCATGGCCTCTGCATGAGCTTCTGCCCCCCCCCCCGAGTTTCTGCCTTGTCTGAGTTCTTGTTCTGACCTCCTTCAATGATAGACTGTGCTGTGGAAGTGTAAGCAGGTTGGTTTTAGTCACGGCAACTAGCACAGCAATAGAAACCCTAACTAAGATAAAGTTTTTATTTCCTTTAAAAAAAATTTTTGCATATTTTTTCTCCCAAATGACTTAAAACAACCTGCTACAGAGCAAGTATACTGGCTCCAGATATAACCTGAGGCTGCAGCAGACAACTCACAAATGCACAAAATCTTTCAAATCCCATCCAGTGCTAGGAAGTTGAGTAAAGGGGGATTTCTGATGTGGAAACCATAATGAAAACAAAATAAACTTTTGTTTATGAGAAAAACGATGCTACTACATATTTAAAGACAATTCAAATGGTCTGTGTTTTTGGCTAGAAGATGAGATTAACCACTATGTTAAATGTTCATCTCGGGGAGGGGGAGATTTAATATCATCAATTTATCTTCACTTGCTGCTATGCTGCTGAAATAGTATCATTTTTGACCAATATTATAAATAACCCAAGACTTCTACACATTCTTTTCAAGGGCCTCAAAATTAAAGATGAGTGAGGGTTATTGTTTGGTGATAAAGTGGAAAATCAAAACCTTCTGGAATTCTGCGACAGGGAGAGCAATCTCCCCTGACATGCATTGCGCATTAGTGCTTATATTTTCTTCTACCTAACTTGATCTCAGGGCTATTTTGTAGAAGGCCAGTGTTGTTTCCGTTGTTTGTTTTATTTTGGCTTGTAATTGTGGGAACGAGGATGGAATTTAGAGCCTTGTGCATGCCTTACAAGCACTTTATCATTGAGTTTCACACCTAACTCTGTATTTTTATTTGAAGTTTTAGTCCTGGAACTCACTCTGTAGGCCAGGCTGGCCTCATACTTACAGAGATCTGCCTGTCTCTACTTCCTGAGCACGAGGATTGAAGGCACATGTCACCACTGCCCAGTGCCCTGTGTTTTTCTGTCTTGCGTATGTGTGTTCTATGCATGTATGATCCTGTGTCTGTGTAGAATCCAGATGCCAACATAGGGTATCTTCCTCCATAACCCTTCACCTTATTTTTTGAGATAGGGTCTCTCAATGTACTTGGAGCATACTGGTTATGCTAGACAAGCTGCCCAGAAAGCCCTGTCTCTGTCCTTCTCCCCAGTACCGGGGTGAGAGATGTACACTGTCACACCCAGCTACGTAGGAGCTTGGAATCTGAACTGAGGTCCTCATGCCTGCCTACTGACTGATCCATTTCCTCAATATCAGACCCATTTTTTATATATAAAACAACTTTGCTCTTGTTTATGGCAGAACAGAGAAGATAAATCTCAGTTCCATGTACAGCACTGTGGTGGCCTGAATGAAAACAGCCCCCATAGGCTCATTTGGTGTGGCACTATTAGGAGGTGTGGCCTTGTTGGAGTAGGTGTGATCTTATAGGAGGAAGTGTGTCACTACTTCGCTTTGAGGTTTCAGAAGCTCAAGCTAGTCGCAGTATCACTCTTACTTCCTGCTGCCTGCAGATCCAGATGTAGAACTCTCAGCTCCTTCTCCAGCATCACGTGTGCCTACATGCCACCATGCCTCCCACCATGACAACAATGAATTAAACCAGCCCCAATTAAATGTTTTTCTTTATACAAGCACAGTAACAAATTGTCAGGAAACTTTAATTTTAGAGAGCTGTAGGGTTAGTGCTTGACCACATTCATATTCAGGTTCTTGGACATCACAGCAGGTACATATGACATGAGACCCAAGAGCTGTTCAGGGATGCCAATTTTGGACTGAAGTCTCTCTTTGCTATTGCCATTCTGAGTGCTGCTATGCTATGCCTACATGGCTGGCTTATCATCAGAGTTTCATTTCAACCTTCCTAGTATTGACCACTATGGAGTGGACAGTTCTGAATCCGACAGCTCTTACCTCTGTGACTTTCTTCCGATCAACCACGAAGTGATCACAGCAATTGATGAGACTTAAAAGAGCAACTGCATCACATTCTTCAGGTCCTCGTTTGTCTGCCAGTCCTCGAGGCATGAAGGCCTAGAGTAAGAGGATGTACCAGGTCACTTGAGTGTCCTCCAATTCTTTCTCCATTTACCAACTGATGACTAATGTTCTCTTATTCCCTGAAGTTTCAAGCTAGAATGCAATGAGTTCAAAATGCAAGTTGGAAAGGTCATATCATACTAAGCCTTGGCAAGGGGACTAATTGAAGGGTTGCACTATCCCTCTGCAATATTACATATAACTGATGTAACTGGTTTTCTTGAACCTCACTGTGTAAACCAGGGAGGCCTGTAGCGAGCTGCGTGGAATCACACCTGATGGAGATGTATAATCAACTCCTGAGATGGCTAAGGCCTGACCTATGCTATGATCATGCAAAGATTATCAACTGCCTGCATATGCGTGAACCTATGGGCAGTGCCCACTTGGCAGTTCGGGATTGGCAGCCCATGCCTACTTAAGGGCTGGGAGAGGTTTGCCCAGAGAGAGAGAGAGAAGGAGAGAGAGAGAGGGGGAGAGAGAGAGAAAGTGAATAAAGTCCTGGAATAAACTGCAGTGAGAAGAGCTCCAGTGGTCGCGTCTTCCTTGCGGGACGAGGATAAGCCGTGACAGAGGCCTCAAACTCTTGAGATTTTCCTGCCTCTGCCTACTCTGCCTACTGAGTGCTGGTAATAAAGGTGGATGCCAACATGCCCAGCCTCTTGTCTTTTTTGTTATTTTGAGACAAGTCTCACTATGTATCCCTGACTGTCCTGGAACTTGCTATGTAGACCAGGCTAGCCTTGAACTCAAAGAGATCCACTTTCTCTGTCTCCTGAGTGCTGAAATTTAAGCTATGTACCATCAGCTTCTGTCCTGTCTTAGAGGTATATATTAAAAAGATAAATGCTTTCCCCTCTTTTCCTTGGTAAAACTGCAGTGCCTGTCATTAAAGAGTAGACAGTTCCTTAGTAACATGAGAAACTTCTATCCATCACCATAACCTGGAGTATAACAGAGCCAGGTTCAAACACCACCTTATGGCCTTAGGCAGTTACCTACCTAATCCTCCGTCTCTGTTGGTCATTAGGGGTTAAGTATCGTCATACACATCAAAGGATGGTGTGAGAAGTTAAGTGGGCATAGAAAAAGCACTGTGCTGAGCATATGGTATAAAGAAATCTGAGCGTCAGCAATTATGACGTCAATGGTGTGAGGTGAGTAGGTCCCATACAGGGGGTAGACAGAAAGCTTAGGATTGAGACACTAGACACACTGGAAGGCTTCACTGTAGCACCATCCTGTCTTTAGCTGAATCTTCTAAAATAAGTCGCACAAATGCTGAATATATTTTTTTTTCCTGAACTATCTGCAAACTTAACACCTGGATGTAGCAACTTTACCAGACTATGAGCCTCAAGGCACATTCCTGCTACAGGACTAGAGCATCTGCTAGAGTAGAAGACACATGAAAAATTACTCTCATTTGGGAGTAGTGGCATGCGCCTTTAATTCCAGCACCCAAGAAGCAGAGGCAGGCAGGTCTGTGAGTTTGAGGCCAGCTGATATACATAGACTTCTAGGCCAACTAAGGATACACAGAGGACCCTTTCTCAAAAGAAAAAAGTTCTTCTAAATCAGAGCTCTAAATAAAAGATATGTTCCACTGCAAGAAAACACTCCAGTCAGGAAGCAGTCACAAAGCTTCCTGCAGGATGTGCATACTGCTATTCCAAAGGCTGGCAGTAAGTACAGGGAGCGCCAGAGTCATTTGGGACTGAATTAGACCAGGCAGATTCAGAGAAAGAAAACAATGAAAATAACTGCAAAGGAGTTATCATAACAATGGGCAGTGAGAACTAGGCAACCGTGATAAAGTCAAGCAGAAGAGAGACTGCCCAGTACCTAGAAGCAGTGGAAGACAAAAGAGCAAGGTCAAGTGTTTGAGGAAGAATGGCAAAAGCAAGCCCAAGTTAGATTCTTAGCCTTTCTGTGTGGACAGGGATTGTGTGAGGGTAGAAAATGGGGTGTTGAGGTAGAGTAGATGAAGGATGCTAAGTCAGGGAACCCAGGAACTGAGACGATGGAGTTACACAAGGTTGAACTAAGTGGTTTGCAAGTGGCCAGCAACCAAGGGGAGGAAAGGCTGGCAAGAGAGGTGGCACAGGTTTCAGAAGGGCTCCAAAGCTATGAAAGCCATAATAGAGTCCAAATGGGTCCAAGCCAGTCACAATAAAGGGAAGGGTTTTATTTCTCTAGGCAAAGGTGTTTTTCCCCATATGCTCGAGGGAAAGGCAAAAATTGGAAAGACTATTGCAGCAATAAAAAGTCATGGTGGTGGATGGGGCTGGAGAGATGGCTCAGTGATTAAGTGGATTTACTGTTCTTCCAGAAGAAGTGCAGGAATACAGAGCTCCAGGAACAGAAGGCCAGAGGAAGAAGTTACCCATCCTCATGACCCAACCGTTCCTCATCCTTAATGGAATCAAACAGCTCCATGACCACTTGGTACCCACCAGCCTGAATGGGTCTCCAAGTCGCTGATCCCATGGGTTCATATTCGAGGACATCTGCCATGTACTGACGTGCTCATAACTTGGGAGACTCACAACCACCTCTTACACCAGCTCCAGTGGATTCAATTCCTTCTTCTGGCTCTAGTAAGCACCAGAATACAGATGGCATACACTCACACACTGACATATAAAACTTTTCTTGTTTTTTGTTTTTTGAAACAGGGTCTTCCTATGTAGTCTAGCCATGTAGACCAGGCTGGCCTTAAACTCAATAGATCTGTCTGCCTCTACTTCCCCAGTGCTGGGATTTCAGGCAGGCACCACCGAGTCCAGCCCAATAGAAAATTTTCTTTTAAAGTTTTACTTATGTGCACTGGTGTTTTGCCTACATGCATAACTGTATGAGAGTGTTGTGTATCCTGGAACTGGAGTTATGAACATTTGTGAGCTGCTATTTGAATGCTGCGAACTGAATCCAGGTCCTCTGGAAGGACAGCCACTGCTCTTAATCGCTGATCCATCTCTCTAGCCCCCAATAGAAACTTTCTAATCTTATTTTTTTTAAGGACTATTGGGTATAGTAGTACATATATGTAGTCCAAAACACTTGGGAGATGGAAGCAGGATGGTTAGGAGTTCAAGGCCAGCCTGGGTTACATGAGATCTTGTCTTAATAAACTGGAAAAGACAGGGAGGGAGAGAACAGAGGTGGACTCAACATGTTAACTGCAGTCCCAGCAATGCCCCCCCTTCCACCTGGCAATTGTGTACTTGTCCATATACTAACTCCTAAAGTCAACTTGTGTTAGGAAGCTACTACTTCTGATTCATCCCTCCACTCACTACTGAGCTTCCAGGAAACATCAAGAAATCAAAACAAATTCCCAATCAGCCCAGGCAGTAAGTCACAGCGCCAAAATCTAAAGACAGGCCTAACATCATCTACCTCATAACTCACCACAGTTCTACCTTCTAAAATTTTATACCTTAGCTAGGCACTCCACGGCCAAAATGAGCCTTTTAATGATCTTGCTGTAAGGCACACCTTATCTCTTCTTCCACGTCCACTGGTCTGTACCTTCTTTCCCCTTCTTTTGAGACAAGGTCTTAAACAACATAGCCTAGGATATCCCCAAACTTGAGCAACCCTGCCTGGGCCTCTGTAGTGGTGGAATTACAGCCATGAGCCACAGCATTTGGCTTCACTACACGTCTTGCATCAGCATCTCTTATTGAAATCTTTACTATAGCTTTCAAGAAGCAAAGCTCAAAGGCCTGAAGGAAGAGCTAAAAGATTCTATTTTAGTGCACTGGGATGGGTCCACTCTAACAGCCTTTAACCACTAGAACACTAGGCCAACTAATCTCTTTGTACCTGTAGTTTCTAAAGTCTCAGCTTTCACCCATAAACCATCCTCTGCCCTGGGGAAACAGGTGACCTGCCTTCGGCTTTCCTCCAGGCTGCAAGTGCTTACCTTGGCTACCTCCCAAGCGTCCACAGGCCAGAGGCCAGGCCGGCAGTTTCCCCAGTGCACATCTCCATTTCTGTTGACATGATGCCTCAAGATCTCACGTTTCCACTCTGTGCACACCACACACTGAGGCTGAAACTACAGGGGGCAGACATGAGACAAGACCCAGGCGTGCTGGGCAGAGGAAATAGGAACACCCCAGGAGCAGCCCCGCCCCTCGAGAAAAAAGACAAGTTCAAGGAACTGGGGAAAGACTGGGAACTGTCCCAGCCCCGGGGCCAGCAGCTTACCTGGCAGGCGCGCGGGCTGCACCAGGAACCACCGCGACAGATGGCGTGGGGACCAAGGCCAGGGACTGCAGCGAGCAGTCCGCGATGGAATGAGAGGACCTCGCGGCGGATGAAGCCCTGCAGACAGCTGCGCAGCAGCAGCAGGCAGCGTCCAGCCTTCACCCAGTTTTTGTACTCAGCGCAATTAAGGCGCACCGCTAGTTCTGACAGCACCATGTCTCAGCCCCGACCTGAGAAAGGTGGCGGGCCTGGCAGCGGTACGCATGCGCAGGGAACCCTGGGAAGTTCCTACAGCGCAAGCGTTGGAGGAGCTTCCAGGCGGCCCCCGCCCAGAAACTATTCCTCACCATTGGTGTTGCTTAGTGTCACTGAGTACCACAATACAATTTGTGACAGATGGTAGAGGCGGGCCATTCTTCCACATCCGGGAAGCTGCAGCTCCTCCACTTCTTAAAGGAACCACCTAAAGTTTGTGGACTTGAAACATTCAGATGCAACCTCTGTGATTAAAGCCCTTAGACTTTCTCATTTCCCCAAAAATCCTGCTAGCCCTCTAACCACTCATGATGTGCAGATTCCTGCTTTGACTCCTTAAATTGTAAAGATGGAGTACTCAAGGCACATTTCTTGAATGACATATTTCCTTGCATTATGCAATTCTAGAAAATTAACTAGTTCCTAACGCCATAGAACAACTGCAGAAAATCCTGGACATCAATAGACCATGCCTGCCATCTGACTGATGTGCAGGTCTATTCTATTGTGTGCTCCCCGGCACGTGCTAAAGTGACACTAGGGCCAGAATCTCCATAATTGGAGCACCTGGCGAGACAAATGTAGATAACGTGTTTCCTGGATTTGGAAGGAGGGCTGCACAGTCACAAGCTGAAGCCTTCAGAAAATGTACACCACGGTTATTTCAGCTGTCAGAATACATTAGATTATCAATATAATGTGAGAAAAAGTCACTGTTTTAGATGCTTTTAGTGAAGTTCTTTAGCTTGGAAAACGTGTTGAAATTGTGTGTAATCAAAAGACCTTGAATGAAGGCTGTAAACAGAGAAGGCTTTCTAAGACTCACAACATAGGTAGTGTTAAGGTGCACTAGTTCTGGGTTCAAACTACCAAGTTTTTGTAGTTTGATCTTAGCTAATTCTAGTTTTAATCCGAATAAATTACTTTACTTCTTTGTGCCTCTGTTTATCATCTGTAAGGTTATTAATACTTACCTCACAGTGTGACGAGAGACATTTATACACATGGAAACACTTAGTATGATGCCTGGCATACAGTAAGCTCTTGGTAAGTGCTAGTTCTCACGATATAGTGATGTAAATATGCCCTTTTATCCATCAGTTTACATTACTGGACAAAGAATTTTATCAAATCACTGGCTAGTTGAAAGTGGGGACAATTTATAAAAAAGAGACCAGATCTGGTGATCTGAAGACTCAAAATACAGTGCAGGCAGGTATCTCTTAATTTGGTCTTACTAACCTCAGTATTAAACCCATCCAAAGCAAATCCAAATACGCCATCCCATCAAAGCAAATGAAAATTTCAACAAAACCCTACATTAACATTTATCCTTCTCTCATTTTTCATAAGTTTTCTTAAAAATTTTAAAAGTATAAATTTTGTATTAAGAACATTTGAAAGGCCGGGCGGTGGTGGCGCACGCCTTTAATCCCAGCACTCGGGAGGCAGAGGCAGGCGGATCTCTGTGAGTTCGAGACCAGCCTGGTCTACAAGAGCTAGTTCCAGGACAGGCTCTAAAACCACAGATAAACCCTGTCTCGAAAAACCAAAAAAAAAAAAAGAAGAAGAACATTTGAAAGTAAGGGTGGGACATGCCTGTCTTCCCAGTACTCAGGTGAATCACTTGAACCTAGAAGGTTCAAGGTGAGCTTGAGCAACATGGAAACAACTCTGTCTTTTTTTTTTAATGGAAAAAAAAGAAGAAAAAGAAAAGAATGTAATTGGTATTTCTTTTGGAGAAAAAAACAAGACATGGAAGTTTTTAATGGAAAACAAAGAAGAAAAAGAAAATAATGTAATTGGTATTTCTTTTGGAGAAAAAACAAAACATGGCAGACAAAACTTTATGCCTACCTTTAACCCAGCTAATCTTTAAACAAGGTTCAACTCCTGCAGTTAATAACTGGCCATACTCTGACCAAGTTATCGCCTTCTTCCTAACTCTAAAAGGCCTTCTATACATTTTAAAATGACATTTTGAAAAGGGCAGATCAGGGCCAATGTCTTCTTTCAGGGTTAAACTAATACTAAACCAAAACTACAACCCAAAATATCTTCACCAAAATTAACTAGAGAGGTGCTAGTTCTCTGAAACTTGTATAAATTTTATTTATTACTGTAAATACTAAAATCACATTGAAAACACCTTAAAGTCAAACCACCTACTAGAGAAAAACCATTATGGAATCTAGTTTCTTTGATTGAACCTGGTTAACAAAAGAGGCAAAAGACATGGTTTGTGATGAAAGTTACGATTCAAATGCTAAGTATTTCCAAGCTTTAATAAAGTATATACCGATTCCAAGTACCAAGCATGATATCAAAATTCAAATTCACTGGTTTACTCTTAAATCAAAATCAAATTCTGCTTGTTTTTTGTTTATGTTTTTTTTCTTCTTTTCGCAATAAAAAAAATTTAAAAAAAAATCAAATTCTGTTCATTGAATCCTATCTTACTTGATTTACACAATGCATTCAAAGGTGTTATAATTAAGAAAAAGTAGCCATTGAATGCATCATGTATAAAAATGCAATTAACATTTCAAAACCACTTAAAAGAGAAAATACCTGAAAAGTGAATTCTATTAATAAAATTATTCGAAACAATATCCTGCAGAAAAAAATACATTTCTTGTATATACCTGTAGATTTCTACATGAAAGATAGGATTCAGCTCCCAATAGAAAAGGGCTGACTCCTGATCAAGCCATCTTAGATTGCCAAACCCATGTGATTACCACTGTGAAGAGAACTGAAAACAGAAGGAGAAAAGGGTTAGTAGGTTAAAGGAAGAATAAAAGTTTAGTCACCTACTCTGGAAAAGTGTCAGAGTTGGGTGAAAAGCAGGAGATGAAGGCAAAAATGAAACACAGAAGACAAAGAAGGCCTCAACTCTGACTGGAAACGAAGATTCAAGCAAAGTTGAGCATATATGATACAGTTGCAGTGAGATGCTTAAAACCAGAATCTGATGGTTATAGTTCTAGAATCTCAATTAATCATCTTCAAATGGAATCAGACAAACATCTAAAATTTCATCTAGGACTAATTATATTGGCTAGATATAACTCAGCATGATTATCATTAAAACACATAAAACAAAAACAAAAAAAACTGCTCCAAATAACACATCAAGTTATCAGAAGACATTTGAATCAGATAATATTCATCAAAGCTTAAAAAGTCCTGACTGGCTGTAAGAGACAGTATAGTACTCTAGAAAGAAATCCTATTGAGAGGTACCAGTGCCAGAAACTCCACTGGACCCTAGACAGGCCCTGCACTGTGGACTGGACCAGGTTGTGTCCAGCAAAATATCCTATTGCTTTGCTGACAATTGATTAAATTGAGATTGCTCAGAACAATCCCAATTGTGTTGGGGAAGGTAAGAAGATAAAGAAATGTCACTGAAACTTCATGCAAACTAGAGCATTCAAGTTCTTTGCTTCCTAGTTAATGCTGTATGCAGAAGTATCCTTTACATGACATTTTCCTAACAAAAAGGTTCCCATTTCTTCACACATGAGAATAACTGTATTATTTGAGATCCTTGATCATTATAAATCACTTACTGTCTCTTTTCAAAGACAAAGTTCTTTCATTTTACCCAAATCCTATACTGAAAAACAACCAAGGTGCTAAATGTTATCACCAGTTAGGAATGTCTGAAGAAACTACATTAACCTTAAAACAAAAAATGTTTTTGGTCAAATTTCAGACATACGTAATTTAAAAAAGTGACTGGCCCCACCAGGTTAAAGATGAAGGGAGGCCCTAAAAACTCTAGAGAGCTTACACACACCAGTGAGTGTCTCTTTTACATCCTAGTTTTATTCAATATTGCTTCTTTGGGATATGTTTAACAGCTCCCAAAACATTTCTGTGTAAGGATTCAAAGCAGTCATATTAAAATACAACTTCAATAGAAAGCTTGTCACAGTTTTACAGTATTCAAAAATGACAGACCTGCCTTAAAAAAACAAAAAAAAAAAACCCTCAAAAATCAAAAAAGACCATTATACCCAAAACATAAGAAAACAATTAAATAAACAAGTTTGGCATTTTCATTACTTTATAGTATAAAACAGAATATTAAATCTATTACTGGCAAGCGGACACTGATTTGTTACCTAGTTTGAAATGTGTCGCATTTAAACAGACTATACAAGTTCACTATACAAAAGATTGATGGTCTTTTTGATGAAAGAAGTGCACCCTGAAAAGTTTTGCCAGTTTAGAATATTTAGCTCTTAAGGTTTTTATTTATTTATTTATTTTTTTAAAAGTCCTTTTCCTTTTAAAAATTGAAGGCTGAATTCAGCCTTTTTTTGTGTGTGTGTTGTTTTTCATTTGTCAGCCTTCCTGGTTTAAAAATAGTGTCTATGGACGCCCACCAGGGGGCAGTGTAAGATTAGCCATTAAATCACGAACAGCTGCAAATATTGTGCATTCACCTGCAACAGAGAAAAATGGTCATTAGCTATTCGCAGTACAGGAGAGACGTTAACACACCGGTGAGGGGAGGGTTGATTAAAATCAGTTAGGAATTTGAAATAAAGGACTATGTATTTCAAACTACTCAGATTTTTAGGCGATGAGATCTGGTGTGGACTAGC